CCCCCCCCCCCGCACTCTGGAAGCCTCCTAAAGGCTATACATGCCATTTTTTATTTTATTTTTTACAAAAAACGGGCCTGTTCGTGAAAAACAGGGCGTTTTTGGGAGGTTTGCAGAGTGCAAACCTTTTTTTAAAAATTTGCCTCTTCAAAACCTTGGTGCGTCTTATACTCCAAAAAATGCGGTGCATTCAGAGTTACGGCGGCACCGTTTCCCACAGTTACAACCTTTGCGGCCTCCCTATTGCCACATGAGTCAAAACTCAGACGCTTGGCAACTGACCTACGTTTATGACGGTCCAGGCCGCGCGATTCCCCTTTTACGACCTCTTGACAAGCCATGGGGAAGCCAGGTTTCACTTAAGAACCGGGTTAACTAACTGATCAAAGTGCAGTGATTCCCATAACGGCTGTGGCTGGAAAGGTCGTAAAATGGGGGCAAAACTCACTTCACAAATGTCTCCCTTAACAACAGACTCCATTGTGGTCGTAAGTCAAGGACTACCTGTAGCCATTCCAAAGAGCGAGGCGGCTGAAGGTTTCTCAGCAACAACGAAGGGGTTTTTGGGGGGGCTGAATAGCTAAATATTGCTGCGTCCTGCCTGTTTTTTGGGGGGTGGGTGGCGGAGAGGGCAGCCTAAATCCACCTATATCAGCTGACCTTTCTATACCTCCCCCCTCCCCACGCCCCTCGCCCCTCCCTCCAGGTTATTACAGCAACAGAAGACTTCGAAAAAGCCTTAAAAGACATGAACTTCCTTCCGGAGGATTCCGTGGACTTGCTGACCTATGCCCGCAACGTGAATTGCCATTTTGCCAACAAGAAATGCCAAGATGTCATCATGGCAGCCAGAAACCTGATGACCTCAGAAATACACAACACCGTGAAGGTAGTGGAGCATGGGAGTGGTGGTGGTTCAAGCAGGGGTGTCTGGATGGGGAGTTCTGGGAGTTGACGTTTGGAGAACTCCTGGCTTAAAGCAACCGGATCCTCTGTTCTCTTGTCTGCATCTGTTTCGAAGAAAGGTACTGTGTTTTCCCGAAAATAAGACCCTGGGTCTTATTTTCTTTTGACTCCCGAAGTAAGCGCTTGGCCTTGTTTTCAGTGAGGTCTTATTATTTTTGGGGTGCAGGAGGCGGCAAGTGTGGTCACCTCGTGGCTGCTGCTGTGTCTGCAATATTTTGGGGTGGAGGGCTTATTGCCCTCAAAAGCCCGATGGGGCTTATTATCCGGGAGGTCTTATACTCAGGGAAACAGGGTACTTGGTGTATAAGTCAGGCTTGTGTGTGTGTTGAGTGTGAGAGAGAGAGTGAGTCCTTGTTGAATTAAGATCTCTCTTAAGCAAGAAATATTCTCAAGATGATCCACTTGGCCCACCTGTCTCCAGGCTGTATTACCTGGTGGCAGGTAGTCTTGAGATCAAAACTAGGTTGGGAGAGAGAAGAACCACCTGCATTTTTGCCTTTGGCATCTGCCAGCCCTCAGACAGACCCCCCCCCAAAAAAAATATTCTGAATCCTTACGGGGAATGCCGGGGGGGGGGGCGGGGGGGCTCCATGTTTAGGAGACTGGCCCAGAACGGAGCCAAGGGACCCTTCCTTTCCTTCCCCAGGTCAGCCCAGACTCTCTGCCAGCTCTCCCCGCCCTGCCTGCCTCTGGAGCCGGGGACCAGCCAAAGGTGCCGGAAGGATCCGAGCTGCTTCTCAGGCAGGTGACCAACTTGGAGAACAAGACCAAGCTGAGCCGCCACACCTTTTCCTTCCCCACCTGCCGCATCAGCGACTCGGTCCAGAGATTGATGGCTTTGGCCTATCAGACGCTCCAGGAAGCCTCTGCCAGCACTGACCAGTGGTGAGATTCATCTCCCACCTAGGCTTCTTCCTCCTCCTCCTCTTCCTCTTCCTGTTCTTCTCCTCTTCCTCCTCCTCTTCTTCCTCCTCTTCTTTCTTTTGTTCTTTCTCTTCCTCTTTCCTCCTCCTCCTCTTTTTATTCTTCCTTTTCCTCTTTATCTTTTCCTCCTTCTTCCTCTTCCTCTATCTCTTCCTCTTTCCTCCTCTTCCTCCTCCTCTTCTGTTTCTTCCTCTTTTATCTCTTCTTCTATCTCTTCCTCCTCTTCTTCCCCCTCCTCTTCCCCCTCTTCTTCCTCTTCCTCCTCCTCTTCCTGTTCTTATCCTCTTCCTCCTCTTCTTTTTGTCTTTCTCTTATCTCTTCCTTTCTTCCTCCTCTTCCTCCTCCTCTTCTTTTTATTCCTTTCCCTCTCTCTTCCTCTTTCCTCCTCCTCCTCTTCTTTTTATTCTTCCTTTTCCTCTTTATCTCTTCCTCCTTCCTTTTCCTTTATCTCTTCCTCTTTCCTCCTCTTCCTCCTCCTCTTTTTCTTCCTCTTTTATCTCTTCCTCTTCTTCCTCCTCTTCTTCCCCCTCCTCTTCTTCCTCCTCTCCTCCTCCTCCTTGTCCTCATGATGCCTTTATTGCATAGTGCCCATCAAGGAAGCAGCTATGCTAACCGTTCCCGTGTGATTGATGGGCGGAATGAAATGACTCGTTGAAAGAAGGCACGACTCCTCCGAAGGACTCCTTTACTCACAAACCCATTCATGAGCCGGGATTTGTAGCCCACAAGTTCCACAGGCTGGAACCACAGTCCGTTTTGTGCACCCTCCACAGAGTCCCTGCCTTGAATGGCGTTCCTGCCCACTGGAATACAGAAACCTCCACCCAGGCTGGCAGGTTTGGCATCTGCTGGCTTGGTTTCTCCTGGCATTTCTCTGCCTGTCTTCCCAACATGAAGCCCTTCCCAAACCGCGGCTACTACAGGCCCAGAATTCATCTCTTTAACTACGCCTAAATAGGAAGGTAGAAGGTGGCTCAGTGGCTGAGACGCTGAGCTTGTCGATCAGAAAGGTCGGCACTTCGGCGGTTCGAATCCCTAGCTCCGCGTAACGGAGTGAGCTCCCGTTACTTGTCCCAGCTTCTGCCAACCGAGCAGTTCGAAAGCACGTAGAAAGTTTATGTTTATGTTTATTATACTTGTATGCACCCTATTCCCGAGGGACTCAGGGCGGCTAACAAACAAGTGGGGAAGGGGGAGATACAAAAAACAAACAAGACAAAAACAAGATANTTTCTCCCTGTTGTTTCACCTTCTTGCCACTTTCTCCCAGCAATGGACCAATTGTTTCCTTGACTTTTTTCTTGTTTTTTTAACTTGCAGTAAAAAGGTCGCTGTAATAATTGCAACTGAAATAGACCATCAGCCTCACATCTCACATACAATTTCTGTTTAAAATAAGTACATACAATTATTAAAAAATTATGGAATTGTACTGTTAGACGGTAAAAGCCTCCATGACATCTTGTAGCCAGACCACACACTAATCTTGGCCATGCCTGACCGCAGAAAACCCCAGGTCATAAAACAAAGAACCACTTGAGCCTTTCTGCCAAGTTTGACACTTTGGATGAAACTGATAGGAAGTTGGTAGACACTGGTAACTCAATCAAAACCATTAGAAATGCCCCCAGGATATGGAAATCCTTTACACATACAAGATTCCCCAAACCTGGACCCAAGGTCAACACCAAGGCACACAAGGGGGATGAAATTGGCCAAAGGTGACAGCCCATTCAAGTAAACATGCCTTTCAGGTACCAAAAAAAAATCCCTTCCTCTGTGATTGCCACCTCCAGCAGCAATGTTAAGCCAGTTAATAATGTAAATACAGTAAGTGGAAAACCCCACAAGCTCAGCAGGGTTCCTTAACCAACAAGTGCCCCCTTTTGGCCATCCAGCTAATTGCAGTTTGCAATAATTCCTAGAGGGCAAGTCCTATCCCTGGGAGGAGCAAAGAAAATGTTTCTCTATAAAGGTAACCATCTCAAACCTGTAAGTTGTTGCAACCTTCAATTGCTGTACTGCACATTATGCTTTCAAAATGAACTCTGCCTCTGCTCCAAGCAATTCACCCTGCATATTCTTTAGATGACCTGGCCTGGATTCCAACCTAGGACTTTCTTCTAACACAATGGTCATAGGAGTACAGTAAATGCATATGCATTTAGACAAGCTATTCTTTGTAATACACATTTTTTAAAAAAAGAAAAGCACTCACTTTTTAATTTCGCAGAGCAACATTCGAATGAGGGCAGCCTGTAAGGGCTCAATCATTAATCTCCTCCACATATCAAGTGCTAGCTGTCATGGTACAATAGAAAACAAGTCAATAACAGAACTGTCATTTCATTCATTCTTATTTTTAAAAAGATGCTCAGTTCTAAAGGCTCCAAAACAGAGGAATAAACTGAAAGGGTACTAAATAGCCAATAAGCATAGCAATTCCTCCTCTTATGAAGGAGATCTCCAGCAGCTGAATTTCTACCAAATCTAAAACTTCCTGTCATTTCAAAAAAAGTGATGGAGGAATGTTTCCTTGTATTTTTATTTACCCCACTAGCTTTTCTTTTTTCAACAAATTACTGTGAAAAGAAATTATGCCAATTCCAGGGTCATCCCAAATTGCATCTAATATCCAGGAATAAGTAGCACTTTTGAACTGATTAATTATTTCTCTGCCCTTGGAAAAACAGACATGACAAAAATTCAATGCCTAAACAAATTAAGTACAGTTTAGCAAATACTGAATTCTAGTACTTTATTAACCATTCCAAACAGTAAGTTATATAAATATATATTATAGAGCAAAAATATTATATATAACCAGCAGCAGTTCCAATTCCTTGATAAAAGTAAATGTACTATACATGGTTTTGAAAGACAATTTTGCTCCCATTCACACTTCTGTGGAGGAAGCAGGTGTACATGTAAGTTTTAAATGCACTTAAAATGTAACTTTTGAAGTGCCCCCAAATGGAAATTAATTTAGGGCTGCATGAGGCAAAGATTTTATTTAAAATACATGATTTAAGAGTTTAATGAAAGGACCATTAACATTGTAGAAAAAATAATTAAGCAGCCCTTGGTTCATTTTTACTTTCAACAAAAGAATTAAAAACAAAATTAAACACTTATTAAAAAATCTTAAACAGGAACAATTAAAGGTTTCTTATTTGGTGAACTGCTATTTCTCATATCTGTCTGTGTATCAGCCCTTTTAGCTATACAAGATCAATAAACAGGCATGTCAAGGACTCAGGAACGTTTTTATTGTAGCAGACTAACCAAATCTTGAAAGCCTATTAGAGTCCTCTCTGCCCCATCTTATACCAAACAAAATCAAGGGAGAATAATTTTTGATGTTTTTTTCTCATACTTTCCTCTTTCTCAAGATTGATAATCTTTTCAGAAAATCTCCCCTTAACCATCTGATTATTCCTTCTCCATTTTTGAAGGCCAGGTTTAGACCCCTTATATAGTCTATGTGTTGTACATAACTTTGACACACCTCTCACCATAAACACATATTGACAAGTGCTACATCTTTGGCTGATTTTGGGCCCTCGGAAATCAGTGTAACTTAGTCTTGACTTAAATTTCATTGATTGCAATGGAATCTTATCTATTACTTTTTATTCATGAATTATTACTGACTCTATCTTAAACTAATTCCACTTGACTTTTATTTCATAGAAAAAAACCGAGAACAAATAAGCATTCAGAATTTGCTAGTAGAAATGTGATATAGATAGGTAAACAGACCTTACTGTTTTCTTGACGAAAATAAGCAAAAATATAGGATAGGCTTAAGTACACCTACAGTATCTCTAAAGCAGTGTTTCTCAACCTTGGCCACTAAGATGTGTGGACTTCAACTCCTAGAATTCCCAAGCCAGCATTGAAGTTGAAGTCCACACATCTTTACATTGCTACGGTTGAGAATCAATGCTCTAAAGCAGGGGTGTCAAACACGATTTCACTGAGGGCCGCATCAGGGTTGTGTTTGACCTCAGGGGGCCAGGGTAGCCATGGCCAGCTTGACATCACTCGTGTCAGGGGGGGCACCTGTGGTGACCTGAGCTCTCTGTCAGCCAAAACGGACTCCTGAGCTCCATTTTCAGCCACGACGGCCTGCAGCCCTCTGCCAGTTTTCACCGGCAGAGGCACCTCTGGCCAGTCGTTTGCTGTTTCTAGGGCAGCTCCGCGGGCCAAATCCAGCCCCCGGGCCTTGAGTTTGACACCCCTGCTCTAAAGTATTAACTTTACACCATGTTCTGAAAAGGTCTCCACTAGCTCTATTCTTATGTACTTCCAATTAAAGAGGCTACCTTAAACAAATAAGCATTGAATACATTCCAACCATTAATTATATTTGGCATTTCTGTCATCAGAACCTTGCAGCCCATATCTGCTCCTTTAGGGTTCACCCCTCCTATCTAGCTACAGCAATTTCAATTCCTCTGAATAGGTAAATCGAAAGCTACTGTATTTTTCGGAGTATAAGATGCACCTTTTTTCCTCAAAAAAGAGGCTGAAAATCTGGGTGCGTCTTATACACCGAATGCAGCATTTTTTTTGCCTCCTGAAGCCCCACCCCTTCACCAAAATGGCCGTGCATATGTTTATGGAGGCTTTCAGAGAGCTTCTGGGGGCTGGGGAGGGCAGAAATGAACAAAAAGCAGGCCGTTTTTGCCCCCCCCCCCCCCCAGCAGAGTGCAAAAACTTTTTTTCCCCCTTTTTGGAAAGCTGATTGATCAAGTGCTGTGCCAGCAGAAACACCTACCTATCTACTGTATTTCTCTCTCTCTCTATTTCTCTACCTACCTACCTACCTACACACACTCTCTCTCTCTCCCTACCTACCTACTGTATTTCTCTCTCTCTCTATTTCTCTCTCTCTCTATCCCTTTATCTACCTACCTAGCCTCTCTCTCCCCCATCTACTGTATTTCTCTCTCTCTATTTCTCTTTATCCCTCTACCTACCTACCTACACTCTCTCTCTCACTCCCTATCTACTGTATTTCTTTCTCTCTTTCTATTTCTCTCTCTATCCCTCTACCTACCTACACTCACTCTCTCTCTCTCTATCTCTCTCTATTTCTCTCTCTCTCTCTATCCCTTTATCTACCTACCTACCTAACTACTCTCTCTCTCCCTACCTACCTACCATGGTGACTCTTATACTCCAGTGCGTCTTATACTCTGAAAAATACGGTAGTTAAAAGCAAATAATAGTTGCAAGTGTTTCCTGGTGAACATTCAGGAAAATAATAAAAGCTTTGTTTTACTGATCCATCAAAATAGACATGATTTTGAAAAGACAGAAATCATCTTAATGGACAATTAGACAGTCACAAAATATGTCCTTTATAGTTAACTCTCTAAAATTCTATTCCATACTACTTACCTCTCCAATCTCCATCAATGGCTCACTCATATCCACACCCCCATAACCATATTGAAGATCAGCTTCAGTCAATTTGTTCTTTTTAATAAACTGCGTATTGAGGTATCTGTGAAAAAAACCAACACATTTCTTATCAGATATTTTCTAAAACAGTTCTATGGAAGAAAAAAATTCAGGAATCGGACAGCATCTTTTTTTACATTTTTAGACACAAGGAATACATATGCATGTATGATAATGAATTTCTAACACATCCCAAGGTTGGCTGGTGCTCAGTTTTGGCCAAGTTACTGGAGAAATCAGTTGGCAGACAGAGCAAAATAACACTATACAAACTTACAATATCTGACAACCTTGGGCTTTCAGTCCAATCACTGTGGCTGTATTCCCAATTAAGGTTTTCCACAGATAAACTGACCTCCATACTGAACACTGTGTAACAGGGGAACTGCCCTGATGGACATGTGATCATGTAAAATTTTCTCAAGTTTAAAAATGTTTTAAGGCAAACTGTCATGTGGGTCATTCCATGTCAAGTGGTCCAGGGCTCACAGCTCGACCATCACAGATTTTGATGAAATTTGGTGTGAACATGCACACACATCCCCAATTAACATTGGATAAGTGTTACATTTGCCGATGCAATAGTTGCGGAGATATAGTCATTTGTTTGATCCCATACCGAAGCCTTCGACAGTATGAATCTGAGATTTCAGCAACTTTGAGACATAATATCTCCGGCAATATTTTGTTGAGAGAAACAAACCTTGGCCATCTTGTACAACTTGTTGTGCTCTTTAAACAAAATAATAAAAACATTCTCATGATAAATTGGAGCAAAGTTGGCCAAAAAAGACTGCAGCATGAAAAAAGGGTAAAGTTTGGCTTAGCAACACAAGGTTTCCGAATATAAAATTTCATTGTCCTACTGCTTTCCAATAGTTCACAAATTGACGGTTTTTGTAAAAATGCCAAAAATAGGGTATTTTCAGCCCGCTTTTACAAAAAAAAAAATGTCCATGGCGACATTGTCACTTGACCCAGCAACCACATCGCCATAGGAGGCACACCTGATAGCCACGCAATACCAGCGTGGGTTTCTTGGTTTAGGATCCCAAGCCTGCAGTTTGGTTTCTTCCTTGAGGTTCCAAAGCCTTGTGTGGGTATCTATCCGGTTCCCAAGCCAACAATTGGGCAGCTTATCCTACGTTCCCAAGCCTAAAGTGGGTATCTTATATGGTTCCCAAGCCGAAGTCCATACCGTTCGTATGAACTGCTAAATTCCAACAACCGCTAATTTATTATTGAATTTACGCGCCACGTTCTTTAGCATCGTTTCTGGGAATTGATACTGTTGACCTGACAATGTAACTGAAGGCGCTGGAAGCACGCAAATAAAATGTGGTTCTGGAACCCAACAAACATTCTGTCTTTCAGGCCAATAAAATGAATGAGCAGGGCCTCGCGGATGCATAAATGTTACAAGCATCATTTTGTTCGATTGAAATGTCCACAACTTTGCCTACCCACCATTTTTTGTCATAAATGCAGGCAACATAACAACCGGGAAATATGTCAGCCAATTTTAAATTCCGATCGACGGTATTGGACATTTTGGCCACAAAATTAATAATGTCATTTGGAATTTTGCTGACAGAAATCAAATTTGAATGAACTGGCACAAACTTGTGATGATCTCTTGTGCCAGCTATTGTGTTGCTAATTTGCATGCTTTTTTTGATGCTGGTCATTTTTGGCCAACTTTGCTCCAAATTATCTAGATGGCGATCACTCATGAGAATGTTTTTATTATTTTGTTTAATAGAGCACAAGTTGTACAAGATGGCCAAGGTTTGTTTCTCTCCGCAAAATATTGCCACAAACATTATGTCTCAAAGTTGCTGAAATCTCAGAGTCATACTGTCAAAGGCTGTGGTATGGGGTCAAACAAATGACTATATCTCTGCAAGCATTGCATTGGCAAACATAACACTTATCCAATATTAATTGGGGATGTGTGTGCATGTTCACACCAAATTTCATCAAAATCTGTGATGGTCGAGCTGGGCACTTCTCTGAAATCAGACCACTTGACATGGAATGACCCAAGTAAAGACTGTCATCTAGCAACCTAGAAGTTCCCTGCCTATTTAAGACACCCAAGAGCAGACACATCCACATTTTGATGAAAATAAATAAAACAGCAGAAGTGTTAGGCAGTGGAAGACACTGTTGGCGGTTGTCAAACATTGCTGGTGTTGCATGTGTACTGTATGAATCTAGGCATAGCAAGAGGAGAAATCTGAAGCTGAGGATCCAGCAGGATCTGAAAGAAAGATCTGTGGATTGGACTAGCCAGTAGAAAAGACTGCAGCATTTAGAAAGGACAGAGTAGATATCAGTTTGATAAGGATGCACAAGGTAACTCTGATATGATGGCTTGACAAAGATGCTGGCATTCGAAACAGTTTAGAAAAGCACTATTTTTTCCTCTGATTTCCTCTCTAGACTAAAAACAAGCCTGAGAAATGAAAGTGAAGCTGTTGACTGGAGTGAGCATATCAAACCTGTGATAAGAAATAATTCTGTGAATAAGGGAGGGAGGAAAAGAGACAAAAATATTAAGAAAACATATAATTTGTGGAGCTACATGTATCCTCTTCTATTGAAAAGTATAGTTTGTTAAGTCAAGGCAGTGTTTCTCGACCTCGTCAACTTTAAGATGTGTGGACTTCAAGTCCCAGAATTCTAGGAGCTGAAGTCCATACATCTCAAAAGTTGCCAAGATTGAGAAATACTGAACTAAGGTCACGGTATATATTAGAAATAAGCACCAATTATTCTTCTAAAAGCACTGTAACAAACATCACTGTCATTTTTGAGAACTGTGCATATGTGTATGAAAAATTCCTGTCCCATTTTCCACCTTCCAACACAGACACCAGATTTGGCGAAACAAAAAACTTCCAGCACAGATTTACAGTCCTAGTTTATTTTTCTAATACAGTAGTAGAAGTGGGAGATATGTTGCCTGAATACAACAAATTGCCTTTTGGATATTGTGTGACTAGCCATGTGCCAAACAACTCTCACTTTGTACCTTTACAAGGCTCTTCCAATGAAAATTTGGTAAGCATGTTCACAGCAAGTGTCAAAACTGTAAATGTACTCACCGGACCAAAACATTAAAACAGTTAAGATTAATCACATTTCCAAATTCCAGAATAAGTTCAAAATGCATTTACCTATATAAGCAATCCATATACTCTGCCCCTTTACTGTATTCATCCCAGTTTCTGTAATACATTACCAGTACTTTTTCTTCAGAGTCCAAGACTGTCTGTGGAAAAAAATACAGGGAAAAAAATTATTTTACTATTCATGTATTTGAAATGTTAAAAAGAAACTCAATGCATAATAAATTCAACTCTATAAACTATTTCAAGTATTTGGGAGAAGCCATAAATATTTAACACTCCTTATCATATTTCAGAAAATAAAAATAAATGACTTTCTTCCAGCAAACTATAATTGCTCTCTACTTAATATATTCACGCTCCTTAATTCTGACATTCAGTATTAACATTCACTTTTTATCCATTCCATAGTTACCTTGTGCAAATGGCGTACATGATTTTCCAAAAAAAATTTAGTTTCCATATAAAGTCTTTCCCCAAGTGGTTCGGGATAGGCCACACACAAAGCATATATGTCCCTGGGTGTCAAGTCAAGGATAAAATATGTTTTAGGCTTTTGTAACTCAAATTCTAATGAGAGCTTGAGAGAAAGGAAAAAGAAAACCAGTATCTTGCTGGGGTTCCAAAGAAATTGACTCATTTGCCATTCCAGCTGCAGTTTACTCTGATGAAGAGTAAGGGTTTTTGTTCTGACCCCGCTTTCTCCGTCCAGGAATGAAAGCCAAAAGCCACGTAACTCAAAAGGTTTCTTTTAATCAGTCCTGGCTGTTGCTGGCTGCGAGCCCAAAATAAACACAGATAAGCACGCTGGCAGTAAGTCTCACAAACCTATACAATGCAAACAGGCTT